AGGGCTGTCACTTCTTTCAGACAGCATAGATCCTGCGGCACACTTCATCCAAAGACGTGGACAGCAGACTGTCCTGGCATCCTCGGCATCTTAAACGGGCGTCACACTGAAGCCGAGCACCGCTTCGTTTACCTCCGCGGCCGGATATGAGCGCTTAGCAACGGAAGAACGCTCAACGCCCAGCCAACCTTCCAAGTGAGCCAGCGTCAATCGGACCCCCTTCAAAACAGGCTACTGTTACCTTGAGCTAGCTTTTAGTAGAATATGTCTCGCCTTCAGTTAGCTAGCAGGCTAACCGGTGGCGCGAGCACGTATGCCGGCTGCTTACTGCGGCGCGTGAACCCCCCCTCTCCCTCCAGATAAATTTAGCTAAGAAGCTAAACAAGTTAGCTAGTTACGGAGCAAGTTCTGCAGGGTAAACGAACCGAAAAAAAACTTAACTTGCGGGATACGGACCAATAAACAGAGCGCGGCGTTTAACTGAGAATCTCCTTATAAAACAAGCGGTCCTTCATACCTCGGTCACTATGTCGTGCAGGTAGCGGAACGGAGGTTTTCCGAGCAGCTTCTCAGTCAGAGGGGGCTTTTTAATCACTTTGCCCAGGGTGTCCTGGGTCTTCTTGGATACCGACGAATTCATGGGCGCCAGTATCGCGGACTGACTGCCAGAACAACGGCCCCTTTTCCCGGTAAAGCCGAATAAATAACACCCCCGGATGATTCCTGCCGTTACCGAGCCCTTACGGGATCCAGCAATCCCACAATGCACCAGTCGGCCTCGCGGAGAATGCGCGCACTGGAAGCGGTTGTCATGGCTGTCGCCCATGGCAACATCTAACAATAAACGCGCGCACTTGAACACTGAGGAGACTTAAACAGCAGTAAATTATTACATTTTTATTACATTTAATGTTTTCATTTAGATATTGTTACTGATAAATTGTAGATCTGATTGAAGTGTTCTTCCAGTAAAGCATCTTCATAATATACAGGACAAATGGTAGCCAATTAACAAAACAGATATAGCTTTATAAATAAATATAGCTAAATATAGCTTTGGATATTTAAAATTATGATTATGCCATTAAAATGAACAACACAGATGGTCATCTTAATTACAAGCTACAATAATATAGGCGACCAAATTACACTTTTACTTTTTTAAACCATATTTAAGTATTCATGTTAAATTTTACTTATGTTACAGTTATAGAAATGTACATCATTTTGTATTTATTTTAGCAAACACTTTATTCTAATGCAGGGATGGCCAATCTTATCCGCAAAGGGCCGGTGTGTACGCAGGTTTTTGGGATAACCTGTAGGTCAGCTGTTCAAACCCAGGTGTGAAAACTCTTCAGCCAATCAGTCCTCTAATTAGTAATCTAATTAGGGAGTTACAGCGAAAACCCACACACACACCGGCCCTTTGCGGATAAGATTGGCCACCCCTGATCTAACGCAATGTACAATTGAGAATGCAGGGTCAGCCAGTCCCTGGAGCAACTGCTGTTACGGGCGTTTCAGCGACCAATAGTGACATCACTCTGCTGACTGTGGGATATGAACCTGCAGCTGTCTGATCATGAGCACAAAGTCCTAACCTCCAGAGTGACACAGCGATGACATCAGTGTTTGGGAGCTGTGGCCAGCCAGTAGTTGGTTGAATGCATTAGACTGCTGTGTCAACCTTGAATTGTAAGGGATACTTAAAGCTGACATTTGTGGTTGTGTAGCATAATGGCAGCACAGTCATTCACCTGCAGGGGAAGCCGTGTGTCTGCTGCAGAAGGCTTACACCAACATGGCCTTAAAATGAAATGAAAAGCAGAAAAATATGACTCTCATTTTGAGGACTGTGAGTGGTGAAGAGTAGTTCTATCAGAGCAGTTTATTGAATAATAGATAATATTACCCATAAGGCTTCTCTTTTCTAACATCTTGTCATGAATGCACCTGCAGGGATGGAATGTCATAAATGTTAAGGAATTCATTTAACAAAAGAGCCATTTCAGACATGGACTATGATTTTTTTCTGAAACAAAGGACACTTGGCTTACCGGTTTGATGACATCAAAGTGAAATCTTAGGCCAGTCAGGTAAGTCAGTGGCACTATATAAAGCAGAGCAGTTAGCTCGGAGTGCAGTAACAACCTTGAAAAGCTTTCCAGCTGCCAATTGGGGAAAAAAGTAAGTGTTTCGTTGACAGTTTACAAACATTTTATAATTACCCTAAACGAGATTCTTGAGGCTACATTTCCTGTAACCCTGCACAGACATGTTTACCTTGTAATATGTTGCCATAGATCAACAGATTTAATATTTTTATATATTCGCTTAAGCAAGCAAAAGAAAAAATCAAAACATTAATCTTTAAAGTATTGACTTAATACTTGCTACAAATGCGCTTTAATTAGGTACTTGAAAATAAGAGAATAAATGATTGTGTATATGTATTGAAATGTATTTCTTCATATGCTTTGAAGGTTGCACAAAATGAGTTTTCAGTCTTCATTCTTGCTGGCACTTCTTGCGGTGGGATTAGTGATCTCTCACGGGAAAAAATCTGAACCCGAGAAACGGTCTCTGTCTAGAGGTATATCTCTTTCAACACGTAGTTTACATTCTCATCGCAGATGTATTTCAGATGCATAAAATAACACAGTTTTGCTACTACACAAAAGCAATCCATTCCATTTCAAACCTCATAACCTTATAAAATTATTTGATGTATGATTTTTTTTTTCTGTTAATATTTTAAGGATGGGGCAATAGCATTAAATGGGCCCAAACCTATGAAGAAGGCTTGTCAAAAATGAAACAAAGGTAAAAACGTTACTACACGCCCAGCATTCATGTTGCCACAAGAATGCTTGGTTGTTTTTTGGTGCTAATTTCCAAACTGCATTGTGTAGCCAGAAGCCCTTGATGGTAATTCATCATTTGGATGAATGTCCACACAGCCAAGGTGAGTGAACTCCCTCATATAAATGGTCATTTGGTCTAATGTAAGGGAGAGGGTGGACAGTTGCAACACTTTTTTCATTTTCTTCAATTTCTCAGAGACTCTTTGTATTGGAAAGACAAAATTAGATGTTAACCCTACATCTGTCAGCTCCCCTCCCCCACTTCTGCGACATTCTATATATGGATATATACGTACAATTCACTCTTGAATAGACAAAGTCAAATGTTGCAACCCCATTACAGGGGACATCAGATGAAAGCTTACTGAAGTGAACTATGTGTGTGTTTAAGTGAATGTTTTTTTTGTGCATCTGGATATGCAGGTAAGTCATTATTTGTGTGTGTGTCTGTATGTGCATGTGATGTAGCTTATGTGTGTGACAGAGGCAATTAGTTCACATCATACTCACAGTTGTGTATAAACACCTCCTCCCTCAGTGCAATAGCATGTTGGGATGGTTAAAACAACCGGTTGCAATGTCCCTACATTGACAGCCAAAATAAAACTTGTTGCCCTAGCTTGGCACAATAGCTTTGACACATGCTAGCTGTGCCTGTTAGAAGCTGAGAAAACACTGATTAAATTTAGATGACTTTACAATGTTTCACGCAAACAGTTTAGACCAGGGGTCTCCAACTCCGGTCCTGGAGAGCTACCGTCCAGTAGGTTTTCCATCATACCCGGCTTCTGATGAGCCACACCTGTTCTCAGGTAAATACCAGGAGCAGGTGTGGCTCATCAGAAGCCAAGTGGGACAGAAAACCTACTGGATAGTAGCTCTCCAGGACCGGAGTTGGAGACCCCTGGTTTAGACAGTGTGACAAAAACTCTAATCATAAAAAATACTTTTTGACCTTAAAGTATTTTTTGCAGAAGGGATGGTCACATATGGCTGCTTTCTTCCACAAAGGGGAGGGGGCTAACTTTGGGGGGCTTGTTGCTGCCGCCCTCACTCTCTCCTACTGTAATCTCAAGTAATATTAATTGAAATCAATTACATTGTGACGATTGGCTTCACTTATTTTTTAATCAAAGCAAATTAAATAAATTCTTTTAAAGTTTCTTTGCATTTTTACAGAATTTGTTCTAACAGGTCATTGCATCTCATATTTAATTTTAGCCCTTAAAAAGGTGTTTGCTGCAAATGAACATATCCAGAAAATGGCCCGAGAGGATTTCATCATGCTCAATCTGATGGTGAATTAAATGTATTTTTAAATATTTGCAGTACGCACAGCATTTAATCAATCTATGTTATTTTCTTACTCTGCAAATTGTTCTGTCAGATTGCTATAGTCTTGCTTGCTTATTCAGAATAACTTGCACAGCATGGATTTCAACATTTTTACCTGCTAAGTAGCTGCCTGTTTTTACAAACATAGTTTGGATTTAGCTGTCAGATGCACGCAAGAGCCTATTCAGGGATGTTTTGTTTAAGTTCCTTCCCTCAAGGTGTTGAATGAGCTGTGAGTCGTCCCACATATTATTGCCGCAATTTGTATGAGCAGTGACTCACATTACATGAACTAACATGCCGATGTACACAATGGTACAGCCTTTCAGTGCAATGTCTTTATTTTCAGGAGGAAACCTCAGACAAGAACCTGGCTCCAGATGGATATTACGTCCCAAGGATACTCTTTGTTGGTCAGTGTGGGTTCAGCTGCTTAGTTGTCAATTTTTTTATCATTGAGAAAAGCAACTAGCAACAAGTTAGTAAGTTATGTGTACTGACAAATATTGCTGACTGATTCTGTCGGACCAGTGCTTCTCAAACCAGTCCTCAGGGCCCACTAGACATCCCACACATTTCCTTCCAGCTCCCAGCACACATGAACCTAGAGGTGGATAGTCCAAGGCCAGAAAGTACAAATCCTGACTAAGATTATATTTCAACCAGCCAATTTTGTGTAGCGTTACTCAACTGGTTGGTTGAAACAAAACCTTGGTCTGGGTTTGTACTTTCTGGACCTGAACGTTCCACCTCTGCCTGAACCAAGCAATCAAGAAGACTGAATACCTGATACTGGTGTGCTGGGGGGTGGGAGAGAGCAGAAAGGTCTGGGGGTCCCCGAAGACTGGGTTGAGAAACACTGATAAGTGACTGAATTTATTGTATTTCACTATTCTGTTTTAATCCTTGGCAACTCAGTTTTTAACAATTTTGACATCTTAAACCATGCTAAACTACAGCTTAATATATTTCTATATTTTAAATCAATTTTAGGCAATTGATAGTACAGTGTAAAGACAATAAGAACATGGAGCAGATGTGTTTGACGCAGAGAATATAATCGGACATGGCTATTGGGTACGGGTACAGTGTGCCGTGCCGGGTGCCTTGTTGGCCATCCTCATGTGGCTTCTCTTTTCCATCACCCCTTTCTTCCTTCTCTCTAGATCCATCCATGGTAGTGCGCAACGACATTGTTGGCAAGTATGGCAATGGCCTATATGTTTACGAGCCTGGAGACATCGACGTATGTGAGTATACGGCTTTCCTCTGTGAATCCAAGTCAACCCTGCTCTGACAGATAAACATCACAAAGAGTCAGACAGGGCACCCCCCCCCCCCTCATTCAATTGAGATGTTTATATTTGGGACCCCCCATTCAAAAACCCTTAAATCAAATAAACCCAGAATTTGAAGAAATGGCTTCAAGTTAAATAGCAATAATTTTTTTTCTACAGTGAAGGACAACATGATAGAAGCCAAGAAACTTCTGCACACTGAGCTATGACCTCATCAGAACCAGAAATGGAGAAAGCACAGTAAATAAACTTAGAATCACAAATCCACCAACATCCACGTTTCACACTTGGTCCAAAATCAATAAAAATACTGAGAATAGCTGGACTCTTATCGCAGTTTTTTGCTTCTCCTGTTCCCATTCTGTAAATGTGTGACTGGTTGTGTGCTTTGTTAGAAATTAATTTGATAATGGTTCAATCAAACCATTATAAAGAAAAACAACTGGGACCCAGCAGCTAAGGCTGCTTGGACCCCTAATGATATAAATCAAGTCAAACTATATTATCATTTCAAAGTATTCAGGCAAACACAGAAATGATGGTGCTCATATGAGACTTTAAAATGACTTTACACAGAACATAAGTTAGACACACAAGACAATAATCAATAAATAGATAAATATGCTGCATATAGTGTCACGTTTGACTAGGGCTGTGCAGTAGGTTTGATGGTAAACTATCTCAGATATACATAGAGTGTATTTAAAGTGTAAGGCAGCTCTTTCATTGCCATGTGCAACTGATGCAGAAAACGACCAAGACAGATGGGTGATTAACAATTATCAATTTCAGTTGTTTACTGGAATTCCAGACAGGTGCAGAGGTAGAAGCATGTTGAGGAGTTTGATGGCACGAGGAAAGGAGCTGGTGCAGAATGTAGTGCTATGAATGCCCTTTAGGGGGCAGTGTGTGCCTCTGCAGGCTAAGCCTCTGTTCCTGTGATCGGAAGCTTGCTGGCTGGTTCGAGCCCCAGCCTCAGCAGAATAGTCACATGTAAACGAGCCCTTGAGCAGGGCCCTTACCTCAGCACCAGGGGGCGCTCACCTGCATGTGTGTGTGTCTCATGGAGGGTAAGCAAATAGAGAATTTCCCCATGGGGATTAATAAAGTATTACTATGCTATTCAGGAGGTTAAAGTGGCCATGGGAGGGGTCGTTGTGGATGCAGTGCTTATAGAAGATTTCTTTGACGGGAGGTAGAGTCCCGACGACATCCTAGGCTGTCGGGGTGACCTACACTGCAGGACACTGCAGTAACCATGCGCCGTGTTTGGCCGTCATGACAACACGTCACCAGTTTTGACATCATATCCTTCCCTTTACCAACTCATAGAGATTATGAGAAATATTTAAAGCTTCTGGATTTACTTTCTAATCCAAAGTGACACATGTGAGGTGCCATTCATTTCCAATACACTCCTCGCAGCCATTTTGGTGCTTTTATGGGACTGAACAACAGGCCCTTTTTGCAAAAAGTTATTTATGGTTCTATTTGATTGTTGCCATATTTAGTGTGAACATGTCTGCTGGATAGAATTCCACAGAGTGTCATGTCTGCTGGATAGAATTCCACAGTGTCATGTCTGATGGGCAGAATTCCACAGTGTCATGTCTGATGGTATTCTCAAGATTCCTGTGTCTGGAAAAGTATGTGGTGGCAGGGAGTGGGGGGAAGTAGCTGAAGGCAGTAAAGCAGGTTTGCAAGCTGATTTAAGCAATAAGACTGTGTGTCCACAAGATGGCAATGTTGTCTGGTTTTAGGTTATTTTAAGCAACAAGGAGATTATTTGTACTAACTCTCATAAACATTTTATTAACACATTCAATTGGAAAACACCAATAAACAGAGCAATAAGTATTCCGTGATATCTGCAGTAATGAACCTTAACCATATCACGCCCGCATATTACTCCTGCTGGTCAGAGGAGCACTTTGTAGCTTTTTGTGCTTGAATTACAAGCTGCCGGCCTGTGCACCTAGCCTGTGCACCTAGCCTGTGCACCTAGCCTGTGCACCTAGCTATTATACCCATGGGTACAAAACAAGGTGGCACAGCAACAAACAAGGCAAGCAAGCGGTGAGATGCTAAACAGCTTTATTAAAATACCTCCACTTAGGAGATATCTACATAAATAAAAGAGATTAGGGTCACAGAATTGGCACAGGACAATGTGCTGGGCAGACAAACGGCTTATTTGGTGTTAACAGAACTTCTCACAAAGCAAACTTCACTCCAAGACCGAGGACAGGGATGCCACTCTGACATCACCATACAGTGTGAACACACCCTGCTAAATGAGAGCCCCCACTGCACGGCTTGGTTGGTTCCCAGGCAACAGCTCTCCATCCTTGTTAAGTGGCAAGGTGGGACATCGCATTAGCTGTATGCCATAAATGATCCAGGTGCTTTGCCACGGAGCTGCCCCCCCCCAGCCGCCACTGGAATGAAGACGAAGTAGAGAGAGTGGAAGCAGTCTTTAGGGTCACCTTCTACAACACACCCAAACCCTGTCATCTCACAAGAATCTGCAGAGCGCTCTTTAGCCCTTCTGCAAATGTAATGTAACTCAGTACAGTAACTCAAAGCCCACAGACACTGTGTACATCACATTCTGAACAGTGTGATCAAAGTCAAACCAAAAGTGAATCAAACTCATCTAAGGAGCTATATTGCATATACTCATCATGGGGGACAGGGTGTTGAAGTTCACCTTCTGACTTTATAAAGACATACTGAATGGCATGTTCTCATCCGGTCTGAATGTGACAGTGTTTACCATTTTTTCAATATAAAAATCTCAAAAATACTTGTCGATTCTTCTTGACCAGGTCACACTAATTAACGGCCACAGTCAGCCTTCTGTTGCCACACTCTAACTGGTGCAGCTGTGCTCAGCTCTTCAGTGGTTCCATGTCTGAACTGCCTTTTTGACAGCGCAGAACATCCCTTAGACAAGGTCACCAGAAGAGTTTTTAGGAAATGAATTCAAGCGTTGAGTTCTAGATGCTTAGCCTTGCCGTGTCCCTTGTGGAAAAAAAAACATTTCAGTTTTTGTGAAGGTCTTCCTCACTTTGTCATTTCTAATATTTCTGAAATCTACATTCAGCAGTGCCCTGGACTCTCAGACCTCCTGAATAAACTGCCAGATACAATTTGCTTCTTTTATGAAGGCCAAGAGATGAATTTTCTGTTTTTACTCCTGCATAGTTAGGGCTCCTCTACACAAAGACACATCCATTTACATTTTATTTAGCAGATGCTTTTATCCAAAGTGACATACATTTTTTTTTTTTGAGACCAGAAGTTCAGTCAATCCCGGCAGTAATTAAGGGCCTTGCTCAAGGGCCCAGCGGCAAAATCAACCTACCAGATCAGAGATTTGAACCTTACAATCATCGATTCTTTGGGTGAACTTGAGGGGTTAAATAATTCAGACGATTAACCCAAATGCAGAGAAGCAGCTGTTCATTTACTGTAGTAAAATGTCTGGCAAACAGAAATAGAACTTGAACAGAGATGTTACATTTAGAACTCAGGTTATTCAATGTGCTTACGACACTACGGTGCTGAGCGAGTTTGATGACTCTGCGATTTGTACTTGAACTTTTTAAGGCTGATTGAGGTTTAACAGAACAAGGAGTGACTGTCTGGCATTGTGGATCTTCTTTTGAGATGAAATGCTGATGTGGGTAGTTCAGATCCAGAAAGTAAAAATCCAGTCCAAGATTTTGATTCAACCAAGCAGTTGAGCATAAATAGTCACAGTCACAGAGTATTTATCTGCTTGGTAGAAACAAAATCTTGGACTGGATCTTTACTTTCAGGACATGAAATTTCCACCTTTGTTTATACGTGAAACCAGTCATCACTGAATTGAGAAGAGGATAGATTACAGAATGTAACTTGTTCACTGGTTCACCTGTTATGCATACCTGTCAAGTTTTGGATTTGAAAATAAGGGAAATTTTCCAGCACCCACCGCAAGCCACCCCAACACCCCAGCCAAGCTCCAGTATCCCTTACATTTTAAGACAGGTGTACAAGAAAACTAAAATAACCACTTGTCATTTACATTTTATTTTCATTACACATTTTCTTTTAATTTCTCATGTTCACTCATGTGACTGTCTGGCATTCACTAATGACTTATTATACAGATTTGTTGCAGACTTTGTATCCTTGTTGAAGTCGTCACCGAAGGTGAAAGTAACGTTGTTTTTGGCACACAGTATTGCCATTTTAACCTCCGCATTTATGACCTGGTTAATGTTGTAAATGACCTGCAGGCTACTGCAGGTGGCAGTTCTCGCGAGGCTACTGACAGTTCAGTTTGGAGAGGCAGAGGATTTTTTTTTAAATGATATTATAATACGGGAGATTTACGGGAAAATACTAATACGGGAGGACGGCGGGAAAGAGGGGTAAAATAGCTATCTGCTGCCCTTTCAACATACGAACATATGAGGTACTGCCATGAAACATTCTTAAGGACCATGTCCCTACAGTCCATACCAGGGTTGTTTCTAGGTACCAAAAAGATCCGGGGCTAAGTCAAGTTCACCTGGGGCTTGACTTCTATTTTTTTCAAAGGAAGATTGGCATCTGGGCTAAAATACTCCGGGGCTAAAGCCTCGAGTGATCAGACCTAGCGGAACCCATGGTCCATACCCAAATCTATGCCGTTACCTTTCAGTGCAAATAAGCACGGTCACTAACTCGGACTATGCAAATGAGGAGTCACACACACTTGCTTAAATACAGAGCAATAATACTCCAGCTTCAGAAATGTACAGTACTCTTTATTGAACAGGGCAATACTGCACAGTGCACTTTACTCTGCCATACATCCTATTTATACGCACCTCTGCAGTTCCTAGTCATATGTCTACTTTGGTGTATTGTGAGTGCCTTTGTCTTGTTATGTGCCATCCTGATTGGATGGTCAGATGGACTACGTCAGTAAGATTCCTGTGTACTGATGCACCAAAGAAAAATAAAGAAACCCAGCTTTCTCTGGCTAAGAGCACCAGGTCTGTGCCCAGTAATGCCCACTGCCTCATATGGTTAGAGCAGCAGTGACAGACCTCTGACCCCCCTCCCCCCGCATTAGGATGGTTAGGTTGTCTTCAGAGTAAAAGTACTCCACCTTTTTTGGCTACCACAACAACTGTGGTCAGCAGACAGTCTCCCAGGGTCACTGTTGCCAAGCAAGGAAGTAAAAGTGCTTTGTTTTTGCTCTTTTCAACAATGGTTCTCAATGAATTAGTTTCACCATGTTCCCTATGCTCAATGGGCTGCCTTTGTTATTCTGGAAAGACTTGGACG